TTGGAAAAACATTTTGGCTAGAGACATTTAAGAGTCAGCAGAGAAGTAATCATTGGAGCCAGAGGTGTGACTGTGGAGAGAGTCTATTGTAGATGAGAACAGGCCCCAGGGTGAAACCTGTCAAGCAGGGACAGCTAGAAAATAGCCAGGAGATTTGTAGCAATTGCTCCAATTGCTAAAGTTCAAGCCCAGTACAAAGGAAATATAGAGTAGAGATACAGAGACTCTCAAAGAGATGGGGTATGAGCCAAGCTTCAAATAGTGAGGTTTGGAGTGGCCACCTAGAAGAAAGAAATTTTTTCCAGGCAGAGACAAAGAGAAAAAAAATATCCTTTTATTTTTAACCCCAAAACAGTGGTTCTTGTTTTAACAGGAGTACTTGTTAAAGTACTGATTGAGAGAAGAAGGACAGAAGAACCACACCCAATTTTTGGTTCAGGTCTAGGGTGGGCTGGAAATAGCATTTCTAACCAGGGCTCAGGTGATGATGCTGACAGATCCCTGGACTGTACTTTGAAAAGCATTTGCCATTAAAAGCATGCCATAAACAAAACCCTCCTTTCCATATTTAAGAGGTGTTCCCTCTGCCTCATGTCATAACGTTTGCTAAATAAATACACATTTGTCCTCTCTCTGTGGACTCCAATGGTCACCTCATAAGCTTCCTTTTCCTGGATTGTTGGCCCAAAGTGATTTATCTTCATGACTCAGAGCGCTCCCAGTCCTGTGATCTTTCCAGCTGCCCCCACTGACCGTGTTCCAGGGAAGGCACAGTGTCTCACCTGGATGAGATCTTTGCTTCGCTTTCACTCTGACATTTTCAAGCACTTCCTTCATCTTTTTGGGCCACAATAACTTCTGAACAGCCTTACATAAGCTAGGCTTGCATAGTTCAGTGCCGATGCTCATGTAAAGACAATACATTTCATCTGCCATTTTCCTGCCACTCCATTCACCCAGGGAGATTTTCCTACAAGCTTAAATTTACTTGAGTTGTCACTTCATTTTCTGGAAAAGGAGAGAACTTGTGCCCATGGCCTGTGCATACCAAGACACCACTGGAGCAGCACTTTAAAGATGCCAGCCATGTGTGGCATTAGGAGCTACAGATATGAGAGACACATTCCTTAAATAGTTTTCAGTCTAGTTAGGGCAATAGCCAGGAAACCAGAGAACTAGTCTGTACTGTTACAAGGAATGTGACTGGGATAGGACGCTCGATATGGAGCCTAATCATTTTGGGGAGAGGATCGAGGCAAGCAGATGTTTTTCAGGAGACAGCACTAGAGCTAACTTCTGAAAATAATGTATGAATTAGGTGAGCCAAAAGAAAAAGAAAGAGGTAGAGGCACCCAAAGTCAGAGTGTATGATGACTTTGGGGGAAGTGCATATAGTTCAAGACACTGGAGAGGGTACGTAATAAAGAGATAAGCCTGGGAAGTAGATTCCGTTGAGACCATGAAGGATCTACAAGAAATGGATTGAACAGGCTAAATCCACATTGTGACATAAATCTTATGCAGGCTACAGTCCAGTTGAAAGAGACCTGCAAACAATATAGAGGTCCAACTATAGCACATTTGTCCTGTATTAATATCCAGGTCCTCCTCCCCAGGAACTGGGGAATGTCAGCCAAACCAAGCCAAATAAATATCTCCACACAGAGGTTCTTTGGATCCCTGGTTTCTTTGGTCATCCTGCTTCTCCATCATCCACCGAGCACCTTGGGGGCACGGTGCTAATCCTGAGCTCTGAAGGGCCTTTGTTGTGGCAGCCAGAATGGATCCTCTCAAAGCTGATGGCTGTGGGAGAGGGCTGCGCCTGTCTGCAGTTGCTCAGGCGTCCATCATCTCTGGTCGTCATTGGTGGGATTTGCTCCGCTCTGGCCACCGCTTTTCATTTTCTACTAGACTGAACTGGGCTGTGCCTGAATATGATGAGATTCTTTCTCCTTTGATGATGTTCTGCAAAAAATGCCTCTGCTGACAAGCTAGGCTTCTCTTCTTGTGCTGTGGTTTGGTCAGAAGAGGGAGCATTATATAAGACCACCATTGCTTTTGGCAGAGAACAACCTCCAACTGAGTTCGACTTAGCTAAAAAAAAAAAGAAAAATGAATCCCTCCCTTTGCCTGTTTCCTCAGCCATGTCCAATCAACACCATGCTTATTCTTCATTCCGTCTCTTCCCATAAGCCCCAGAAAATTATAAAAGCTAATTTTTATTTTTGATTCATTATACCATCTTCAGAATTTCTTTTCCTATTTTTAAGAAATTATCTCATTCAGGTTTCTTTTTTCTATTCCTTTTATGAAATTTTCTTTGAATTCTAATAGTCTATTATGCCTTAGTATATTACCTTGAGACGTTAAGGAAATAAAAGGCGGAATCAGAAGCAAATGCAGTAAAAACCCTTGACTAGGATTCATTTGAATAATATGTACATAATTCAAGATGTGGGTGCTACCAGGATGAGAAGTTCATCTGGGTTCGTTAGCAAGTAAATTATTACAATTCACATTTAGTTTTAATTTGAATTAGTAAGTATTCATTATGTCACAATACATTAAAGTAGGGTGTGTTTGGCTTTGGGGACCTGAATAACCAAAGTCACATGTGCAAGGTTTACAATATGTTTAGAATTGGAACCAAGACTAAATTGTTATTCAAAATAATAATTATGAAGGTACTGTTTATCTCCCATTTACTATGTTCTAAGCATTCACAATCAATGGCTCATTTAACCCTCACAAAAACAGGAACTGTCCTGTCCCCATTTTACAGATGAGGAAACTGAAGCTTAAAGAAAGTTGGGAACCAGTTGGCCGAGCCGATTCAGATCTAGAGGTACCGCATTCATCACTCGTGTTCAGGAATGTGGCTCCTCTAACTAGCTGGCTGTCTTCTAGGCCAGGGGAAACCTCCAGAGGTGAGGGTGGGATCAGAATGAACCCCAGCGTGGCGTGGCAGATTTCAGGAAGCCAAGAACAACCCTCATTTCTCTGAGTTTTGCTTTCACAAGTGACCACTACTGTCATACCTGTCATTGCCCCCTGGGGATGTTGGGAGGGATAAAGGCAAATAATAAACCCACTAATATTTTTTAAAACTTTCAAACAATGTAAAGAAATGAATTTAATCATGGATAACTTAAAATAACATCCCTAGCAAACCTGTAGAATGGAGGAAAGAATCAGGATATTTCGATAGTGATCTGTTCAGTATCATTTGTCATTAAAGCGAATGCACTTAATAACCAAAGGGGGGAAAGTCATTCAGTGAACGAAGGGGAAAAGTCAAAGTCTCTTTCTAGCATGTTGCTTATTTTGGTATAGGTTTTAAGTTGCAGTTGGAAAATTCTTATTAGAAATTGTATTTTATTTCACTTTCCATTCCCTCCTTTTTGGTGTTACCACTTTGAAGAAAGCTGAATTTTTTCCTAAATATATTCCATATCCTCTGACAGTTTTCCTGAAATCTTACTGAATAGCCTGTTGGCACAGTATCTTTCCAAATCAAATATGCTAGACTGCTGTTATGATTGTTGTTATCTTATGGTTCCACCTCAGGTGGGAATTTAGAATCTGTTCATATACCACGTGAAGATACGTTTGAAAGAATAAACACACACATCAGAGTATTCAGGATTTTAAGTGAACATGTACCACCTATGATTTTTTCCTTGGCCTTGTCTAGTGATAACAGAGAAAAATCCCAAAGCTCAGAGTAAGGTCTTAAAGTGATGTATCCAAGTAGGTGGCATGATGATTTATGGCTCATTTTTATTTTAAAAGGGAAATCATATAGCTTATCAGTATACATATCACACATCGTTTTCTCATTATAGAAATAACAGTTGCTTCGGTGAAATCTTTTGGAAAATACAGAAAAAATACCAGTAAGAAAAGTTCATCCATAATTTCACAACCCAGCCACCATGAATACTTCAGGAATTTTTCTTTCATTTTTTTAAAAGTAATCCTGCCTTAAGTAACTAAGCCAACTTATATTTAAGTGCAGAAGAGCCTTTTATTTTTATTACATATAGCTTCATGGATTAAAGTTAATAATAAAGCAAAACAACCTACTTAAAGGCATTTAAGCTAATTGCCTTGCTCTTCTTCCTATACTTGGCTTCACAGAATATTTTATATAATCACATGTTTTATTATATTATGATACATTACACTATAATAATCTATTGCATGGTTTTCTGTGACAAGACATCAAGTTATGATGGGGACATACTGTATTTTAATGCTTGGAAGCGGGGGACCACATCTTGTTCATCCTTGTGTCTTACAAATGACCTACACAGAATATGTAATATGGGCTCAATGGAGTCTCATTGAATTAAATCGTCTTCTCCACTACATCACAAGACAATAAATGTATCCTTAGCATATACCTTTGATCAGTGCAATCCATTTGAAATAATGAATGAAAAATTTGCCTCTTTATTACCTCTCTCGGTAGCAAAAATCCAAAATTATTACAAAGAAAGGAGCCATTTGAAACCCAGAGCCCAGGTCTGCGGGGAGGATCCGGGTTGCCCAGGTCCTGTCCCTCTTCCCCTCCTTCTCCTCCCCCTTCCTTCTCCTCTTTCTTCTCCTCTTCCTCCCGACTTCTCCTCTGATCACACCCCAGGCTGACCTTGCCAGTGTGAATAAGCATATGTTCATCCCTTGAATGAATGTAGTTGGTGTTTAAAGTATTGACCCAACTAATGTTTAAAAGCTTTATTCAGATGCTTATAAAAGCTTATATTTTTGACTACTCTTTTGTTTGTTCTTCCTCATATTTTTCTAGAAGATTTTCCTAATCCTGACACTCTTATATATTGAAGATGGTATCAGTGTTTGGCAGTAAATGTGTTCTTCTTGCTTGTGCATCAAAGGAATGTTCTCATCTTTGATTGATTACTTTTAATGTAAGAAAAAATATGTAAAAACAACAAAATGTAATTAAATGATTCTAGTTTGTTCATTTTCAAGAATATGTGGGATTGTTTCTCTTTCTCCTTGAAGCGCTCTGCAGGGAGCTTTGCTGTATTACTTTTTACTGGACTTTTTATTACCTACAAAGAAAGAAATGATTTTAGTCCTGGAGAATCTCGCCTGGCTCTTCTTTTAGTTTTAATTCAGGCTTATGCTGAAGTTTCCATGCAGTATTTCTATATATAGGCAGTGTTATCTTTGCAAAGTATTTGATTTGAGCATTCTAGATTTTTAATATGATAGTCAAATCTCAGATTTAAGCTTCTTGTCACTCTTTAGAATCATCATATGCTTCTCAGGCATCTTCTCAGATACCCTGATTTAACCTGATTATTAACTTTCAGCTCTGAAGTCAGAAAATACAGAAAGAAGTCGATTGTGTGCTTTGCAGTCTAGCTTTAGAGAAAAATACAGCAGGAGCGGTGGAAAACAGCCCAAAGCCTCTGTCGATCTGGACATAACCAATTGTCACATTTGATTTCAAAGTGCCATAAATTTATAGGCACATATTTTGTTTCAATGAAAGCAAAGTTGTTAAAAGTTTAATTTTGTCCTGCCAGAGAATAGAAGAAATTTCCTGAAGGAATACGATTGTATTATCACTAAAAATATATATGCACACTCTCTTTTTTTAAGTAATAGTCATTATTTAAATTTTGATTTTCCATGAAAGAAATCATAAGGCTTTTTATTTATTGTTACATTAATATTAATTGATATTGATTATATTATATAACGTATTATATGAAATTAATTTTTATTTTATATATAATTTTATATTATGTCATGTGTAATGCAGATTCTTATTTTTATATATAATTATTAATTGTTATATTATTACGTGCCATCTATACAGGGGTGGATCCCAGTTTCCTGGGTCAGTAGTTTTAAAACTTGAGTTGCTCTCTTTTTTTTAATCTTAATTTTATTATTATTTTAAATTATGGTAAAATACACATAACATGAAATTTACCAAGCGTGTGCAGTTCAGTGTCATTAAGTATATTCACATTGTTGTGCGGCCATCACCACCTCTCCACAGAACTCTTTGCCTTGCAAACTGAAACACTGTACTCATTAGACGCTAATAGGCCCTTATTTCCCCCTCTCATCAGCCCCTGGCAACCACCATTGTACTTTCGGTCTCTGAATTTGCCTCACATAAGTGAAATCAAACAACATTTGTCCTTTCACGCACTCTCTTTTAATAAAGCCATTGATTTGTTTATCAGTATGTGAGAAGAAGACATTGATAATTACTCAACTGAAGGAAACAGCAGCGTCTGGTGTCCCACCAGCAAATGAGCAGCTGTAACCAGGTGAGGCAGCATCTGTAATGGTTGAAATGCAGGCCCTTTTGTTCTAATAACAGAGTGAGAATGGTACTCGTTATCTTTTCCAATCTATGACGCCAAAATGCATGCATTCTGGGTCCACTGCCATGAATCATCTGTGTCAGCTGCTCTCCATCCATCCACACAGCTCAACCTCTCCTTTCGGCTCTCAGGTTCTTTTAACCCCCACAAACCACCAGCAATGGAGCATCTGTGCATGTTTCCCAAGACTAGTAGTCCAAGCTGTTCAGTTCTTAGTTCTTTTGTAGGAAGAGATCATGTTTGCTGGGAGGAAGGTGTTTGTATGAGAGAGAGAAGGAGAGAGGGAGAGGGGAAAAGGGACAGAGATAGGGAATCACATCTCTCTGCAAACACTAGTTTAACTGAAGGATATATTTTCAGTTTACAAAGAATTTTCTGAAACATCTTCTCCTAACATGCAACCAAAAATAGCTTCTTTTATTCTTAAATCTATTGAATTTAGTATAATTTGAAATGATCATTGAGGATAGAAAGATAATGCCAAACTGAAGCCAATATTCTCACTGCACAGAATAAAACTGAAGAATTTTAACAGTTCTCAAAATATGGAGCAGAATATAAGCATCGGAATACTTGATTTTAAAGAAACAATTTACACATTGAAATTCATATAATGTGAAGCCTAAGACAAGCTGAGGGGACCCAAAAATTTATATGACTAAATTTAATAACAACTTTGGAGGTAGTGCCATTCATGGGGAAAAGCATAGAGTTTGAAATATTAACTAGAGAGTAAGTTCCTTGGGAGTTCTAGATTTTCTACTATGTAGAATAACATCTAATACCTAGTAGACACTCAAAAAAATTTTTTAAATGACTGGATGGATGGAGAGATGGATAAAATACATTAGAATCCCAGCTTCACCACTTACCTAGCAGTCTCCGTATAAAAAAGAGTACCTTCTACCCAATGGATGTTCATTATTATAGTTGTTATCTCAACTTATATATAGTCATATGAAGTTTTTAAATTTTTGAAACTGTCAGTTTAGTCAGATTACATCCTTAGGAAAATAAGCCAATGATAAAGCATCCATATCTTATTTGAGTAAAAAGCAATAGCAGTAGTCATGTAGCCTAATCACTTCAATTTATTTGCTTGGGAATCAAGGACCACAGAGAGTCACTGATCTGCTTAAGGTTCCTTTTATATGGTTGCATGGAAAGCATTAGCTTTGTATATGTGAGAAGTTATGACCTGATGATTCTATACTAGGTAACTTGACTCATTAACCCAGCTAACTCATACGACTTGTTTCCTCAAATCTGTGGACTCTTCCAAGTATGGGGGAATCTGAAGATGACTGGGAATTATCTCTGGGAGTAATCGAGTAAAGGAGGCACATTTATAAATAAGTAAATTTATAATTCTAAAGAAGGGAACATGTGCTGTGATAGATGTATAAGTAAAGGACTGAATGAACACAGAAAATGAAGCAAGTACCCCAGTCTGGAGATTTGAGGACAAAAAGTAAGGATTAAGCTGTGTGTTCACAACTGATGGGAGGAGAAAATGGACTTTTCAGTGCCTGAAATTAAAGAAGCCTCAGAAGCCAAGATTTTGGTTATAGACAAATTGATCACAAAAGGAATCAGAAGAAATAATTTAAGTGAGCAACAAGCCAATATCATTAATTTAAAGCCACATAAATACATGCAAGTGTGCATATTTCTGCCAGTTCTGCTTTGTGGACACTCGCAGTGTGACTCGTAATCATGTCCCATGCTGTCTATGTCAATTCTGTAAGTGCCCTGAAGGTAGAGTTGGCGTGTTACCCACCTTCGTGGCCTGAACTCTCAGAAGGGCACATGGCACATTGTAAACACGTAATAAATGTTCTCTTGAATTGACTTACATCCACCAACCAGTATATTAAAAGCAAAAAAGAAAAGATAAAAACAAGCTGTGTGATTTCTTCTAGACATGGGTGTAATTTACCATCTAGGACAGCCTCACCAATCAAACATGTATCTCTAGTCCTTGAAAGGATAATTTACCTTCAACAATTATTATTAATACCTTTTACTCACTTGGGACCATAGCAAAATTGAACTTATGAAGAATGTCTGTGTTTTTCATCCTTGGAGTAATTATACCTTTCAAAAAACTATCCTTTTTGGGTTCCCAGCTGACAGTGTTTTTCAAATCTCAAGTGGCAAATGCTGAATCATTCTATCAATAATGTGCAAAATAGAGACATGTCCAAGGTTACTGAAGCAGGGTCATAAATCAACTCCTTGAGGATATGTCTCCCAAGATTAAAAAAGAGAGATCATATAACGTTTTAGATGGAAAGTTCCATACAAGTAGTCATACATTAAAAATGATGCAAAAAAAAAAATGTCATTGCATAGAAATGCAGTAGTTATACTATCCACCAGGTCAAAAGGCATTTAGGTAATTGGGGTATAAAATGAGTGTTGATAATTATTTTAACATCACAATGCAAAATTTGTTCATGTTGTCATTTGCCAAATAAAGAAATAGGTTGTATATATTCCCACTATTAACATAGAAAAGCAATAAAATACTGTAAATGAGTAATAATGGTTTTCTTTGTCCTTAAAATCTGCTTCAAATGTTCATTTCATTCCTATTAAAGCAAATTATTACCTTAAATTTCCTAAAATCAGTGTAGGCTTTGAAAATGCATATTGAGAAACTGGGATACTACTACATTTCAAACACAAACTGGCCAATTCCAGATAACCCTGACTAAAATAAACTAGAAAATCAAAGTGCTTGTACTGACAGTTTGCAAGGAAAAGGTTATTTTCCACCTATTCTTAAATTCTTCACTCTCCCTGCTCATGATTCTGGACCCCTCCCCTCAGCTCCCCTTATTTTCTTTATTTTTTTACATAGAAAGACTACAAATATTTTGTAACCACTTCTGTTAGACTCATACACAAGTGCTCCCAACACCTTGCTTAATGATTTCAGTGCAGCATTATCATTAAGGTTACTGGGTTCTACGCCTAGGTCAAACCTAGGGCTACCACTCACTAGCTTCATGAGCCTAGGCAAGAGATTTCAACACTCTAAGCCTCTGTTTTCTCATAAATAAAGAGTTGTAAGATTGTTTTAAGGGCTAAGGGAAATGAAATTTATACTATGCTCACTAAACTTCCAAAAAAGGTAAGCTTTTATTGTTATCACAGTTTGGCCACACTGGTGCCATCTGGCTCAGTGTAAACAGTGTGGCTTGCTTAACTGACACCAGATTGGGAATGAAATAAGCTTCCCCAGGCCCTAGCTCTGTGACCCTGGGCAAGTCATTTATTTCAGGACTTCAGTTGTCTCACCAGTAAATTGAGAGGTATAGATGAGATGACCTCAAAGGTCCCTTGCTGCTCCAAAATACTTTGTTTTGAATTAATTTCATGGTCTAAATTTTGACTCACAACATTCTGGTAGATCACTGGAACTGTGTCCATTTATCATAAAAATATCTCAAGATAGAGGCCAGAAAAAAAAAGTGGACCCACAAAACCTGGCAGGTGGTCAGAGCCAAAGAGAATCCAATTTGACATAAAGTCATTTACTCAAGTGCTGTGTGATTGGGATTCTGCTGACTAGGGTATTTGAACAGAGCACCTTGAGACCAATGTCACAGAAAATATTCCTGCAAATAGTTAATGGTGTGTGTATAGATATTGCCAGCTACCCCGCTAGAGCCCAGCAGTCTCTCAGAGCTGATAGG